GCTACTAAAACATTTTGTGGAAGCAAACAAGCCTTCTTTATGATCCTGGTCATTTTTCTCAATCGACTCTGCGCTTCCAGCTAGATGTGTCCGTGGGGTATTGCCCAACTAGAACTGTAGTCCTCACATGCCCCAGGTCGCGAGGAGCTAATCACTTTTGTCAGCAGAACTCCTGCTCGGGACTCGACACATTTATTCCGTCCGATGTCATCCCCGCTGCGAGTGGGGAGCTTCATGCCCACGATAAAAGAGAACGTCATGACATTTTTCTCAATCGACTCTGCGCTTCCAGCTAGATGTGTCCGTGGGGTATTGCCGAACTAGAACTGTAGTCCTCACATGCCCCAGGTGGCGAGGAGCTAATCACTTTTGTCAGCAGAACTCCTGCTCGGGACTCGACACATTTATTCCGTCCGATGTCATCTCCGCTGCGAGTGGGGAGCTTCATGCCCACGATAAAAGAGAACGTCATGATATATTTTGAATCCTTCATCAGAGAAAGCTATTCGAGCTCAAAACGACACAAGACAATGGCCATGATAAAGATAGTCGTACAGATCGCGATGTTACTGGCCTCAAAAAGTGCTGCAAAAGACTTGAAGTATTTTTCAAAACAAGATTGTGAAAAAAAGGTGAGCGCTCGAGTGCGGCGAACACGGCCAAACGCCATGTTTTCCTTGGTGACATGACGTCAGCCACATTATCACCATGGCGAGTTGCAGCGCTGATCTTGAAGTACAGCGGCACCAGAAAAGTGTCCTTATTCTACCTGAGTTGGATTGAAATGTGATACAAAACAGTGTATGCAAATGCATCTACTTGCAAGCAAAACTGATTATGAGATGCCGCATGTGAAAATCAGCACTGTACCATAATTATAGTAACACTTACTCCCAAAGAGTCCAAGCTGTAATCTAACTAGTGACGGTAGTTTGATTAAACGACAAACTCCAGCACCGGAGCAATTCAGTCGCCTTCCGCACCGCTCACGACGCAAGACAAGATCATGAAGATGCTACAGTATGCACTGGAACTGAAAGGAAATCTTATGCCAAACATCCACGGAGGAATCTCCTTCTGACCTTGCTCGACCATTCTTCAAATTGACAACTGATAACCATCAGAAGATGTTCATGTACTGCATGATGTAGGAGATCTCCAAATAGGTTCGTTGTTCTGGAAATGCGTAGGGGTACCTGGCATAAGTAGGATATGACCCTCGTAGTCGGGTTATACCGTACCCTCATATAAATCCCTCCTGCTATCGCAGTCGGGATTTATATTCAGCCGGTATAACCCTCTGACTCGGGTTATATCCTCTACACAGAGGTGAAGCATACTCGATGGAGTAACGGACGTATCCTTTGTGGAGGCGGGTAATGAGAGCAGGGGTCAGATTGTATCATTCGAGTGCAGGCAGAAAACTCCCAAATATGGAAAGGAAATTCCCAGTAGTGGGCCAGTACACATTCCACCTGACTTCTCTACGTGAAACGTGAAGCAGACTAGGATTTCTTTACGTGACGGGAACGCGAAGAGAGTTCGCATGATTCTTTGCGTTGCGTTCCCAAAACGTAGAGCAGAACCTCACTACAATGTTTTTTGAATGCAGAGTACGGGGCAGTTGTGACTTTTTGAGCTCTGCAAATTTTCAAGCCCAACCGGCACTAGGCCGGTCTGGAGGTAGGCATAACAGGCCCCTTGATGTGACAATGTCGTCTGAGGAGTCACCCACCGCACCAGCAGATGTAGACCTTGCAGTGATGGACAATCAGGAGATCTGGCATCTCGCCAAGAGTCACAGACTGGAACACTCGGGACTTTCCCGTACCCAGATAGTCAAGTTTCTTCGCGACAACGGTATTGGTTCGTCGACAAACTCAGCAGGTCAGTCTGACAAGGTGCGCGATGTTGTTCAGCAGGCATTGGCCGATATTGCAAAAAATGTTAAGAGAGCATGTCTGAGAATACCAAAGTATGTGTGCAAGTGGATCTCTCCGATTTCGCTCAAAATTTGCAGGTAGGTTGCCTTTGGGGTGTGGATCGACTGTGCAAAGCCCTTGAAAAAGTTTCTGAAGGGAACCTTGAAATTTGCATACCCCTCAAAAATGGCCGAAATATCACATTATTTATGGGTCTAGAAACGAGTCACGCCACAGCGTATACGAACAAGCTATGAACAAAACTACATCAAGCCAACATTGCCTCACCTTAGAAGAGTTCCTGGAGCAGTACCGCTTAGCCACGCCAGCATCCCAGAAGACGAGGTCCATCACCCCCTGACGCCACAAATGATCGTCTTGAAAATAGCCAATTTACAAGCGCTGGCAAAACAGCCAGCTACGTCCTCAATTGGCCAGAACTATACACCGGCAGATAGTAGAACACCTCTTCTAGCGCTGAGGACATGTCCCCCATCTTCCTTTTGGGGTTTCTTGAAATAAACATTTTTGAATTTTTCCACTCGACCATGCTGAAATACGGCCAAAGTCATACCTGCGCAGGAAAGCTCGCCCCGTCGCGACGTCTCCTCAGCAATTTCTACTCCAACACTACTCCCAAGGCCGCAGAACAAAGTGTAGTTTTGACTCTGACAAGGAAAAGCAGCGGTGATCACTTGTCACTCCAAACGACAAGCTTCTCCTTGCGCCACCAATAATTTTTTGTGCGACTGTTGATGCAAAAGTGACTGAAGGCCTGAGCGCAGTTTTTGAATTTTATTGCAAGATGCACGGTGAAATCACGTGCCTTGTGACGCAAGAATGCCAAGTCGCGTGGCCCACGGCTCACGAGATTTCAGAGTCACCTTCGTCAAGTGCGCTTGTTACTCGCCTTGAACGCCCGTTGGTCTGGAAGTCATCCCACTTGTGTTGTTACTGCGCTCAAGAACACGCTGGGAGTGTTGTAGGCCTACAAACCGGGACTTTCCCTGACCATGTAGGTCGAAGACCAGTGAAATGATGATGAAATCACATTCTTTATGACGTAAGAAATCTCTCATGCAGTTCACGCGACAAGTGCGTGCAGTCAGTGCTACTCGCGTGCCAGTCAACACAGGGGCCGAGCTAGCCGCTTTTGTCGAGCATCGACTTGAAAACAAGGGACTTTTACTGTTGGACTATGTTCGGGACTGCAGGAGGTAAGTGTGAAAGACGAATAACTCTCCATGCTGTACGGGGCATATTTCAACGGCTTGCTGCCATTGCAACACTCCTAGGACAGTTTGTTGGGGTACTCAGCAGTTCAAGCAGGAAATGAAGCTCATCTTACCTCTGCCATCATGGTCTGTTCCGAGTAGCGTTCCAGGCACTTTCACGATCGTTGGCCGCGTATCGTGATGCAGGAAGCGTCATCCTACGTCACAGAGCACGCGATCTCACCGTGCATCTTGCAATAAAATTCAAAAACTGCGCTCAGGCCTTCAGACACTTTTGCATCAACAGTCACACAAAAAATTATTGGTGGCGCAAGGAGAAGCTTGTCGTTTGGAGTGACAAGTGATCACCGCTGCTTTTCCTTGTCAGAGTCAACACTATACTTTGTTCTGCGGCCTTGGGAGTAGTGTTGGAGTAGAAATTGCTGAGGAGACGTCGCGGAGGGGCGAGCTTTCCTGCGCAGGTATGACTTTGGCCGTATTTCAGCATGGTCGAGTGGAAAAATTCAAAAAAGTTTATTTCAATAAAACCCCAAAAGGAAGATGGGAGACATGTCCTCAGCGCTAGAAGAGGTGTTCTACTATCTGCCGGTGTATAGTTCTGGCCAATTGAGGACGTAGCTGGCTGTTTTGCCAGCGCTTGTAAATTGGCTATTTTCAAGACGATCATTTGTGGCGTCAGGGGGTGATGGACCTCGTCTTCTGGGATGCTGGCGTGGCTAAGCGGTACTGCTCCAGGAACTCTTCTAAGGTGAGGCAATGTTGGCTTGATGTAGTTTTGTTCATAGCTTGTTCGTATACGCTGTGGCGTGACTCGTTTCTAGACCCATAAATAATGTGATATTTCGGCCATTTTTGAGGGGTATGCAAATTTCAAGGTTCCCTTCAGAAACTTTTTCAAGGGCTTTGCACAGTCGATCCACACCCCAAAGGCAACCTACCTGCAAATTTTGAGCGAAATCGGAGAGATCCACTTGCACACATACTTTGGTATTCTCAGACATGCTCTCTTAAAGAATTGGCCGCCAAGGTAACCCTAATTTCTGCCTTGCAGTTGGAGGTGTCGTCCCTTCGAGGAGAATTGGCGGCTCTCAAAGAAAGGAACTCTGATCATGACCCTGTACAAACTAGCACACCTGAACCTCAACCCGTGCGTGTACAACCGCCTGCTGACAGCGTCAGGTTGTACAGCGCGGCGGCACGTGCACAGTCGTCACAGGTGCGAGCACGGGATAACACATGGGGAGGCCCCAGCCAGCAGGCCAGTACTACACGACCCCAAACAAGTCACCCAGGCACTCAGGTCACGTCGTACTATGAAACCCGGCCCAAGCGCTCTGATCAACTACAGGGAGGATCCCGCACAAAATGTTGCGCTTTGTATGTGGGCAATGTCAATAGTGGGTGCACATCAGAATCGATCGCCAAATAGTGTGAACGCCGAAATATACCTGTCATCAAGTGCTCCGTGTCTGAGACAAAGTACTTCGGGTTGGCCTTTGCTCACGTAATTCTGCCAATCCAACACAAAGCTACTGTTCTGGAACCGGAATTCTGGCCTTCAAACGTCAGAGTTCGAGAATGGCGCTTCAAGGCTGACAGTGTAGCAACTGGTCGAGCTGCAGAGGAGCACTAAATGTTCTGTTTAAATCCTCACGCAGCCCCCTTTCAACCCTTAAACCCTCATGCACCTATCTTTCAGCCACGAAATATTTGCCCCACTGTAAATCCCCTACAGCATGAATTAATTAAAAGCAACCTCAAAATAGTATTCCTAAATGTTTGCCATCTTCTCAATAAAAAGCATGAAATTGAAGATTATATTCTTTCCCATAAAGTTGATATAATGATGCTGGCAGAGACTTTCTTAACAACCTCCGTTTCCGATGACATCCTACGCATACAGAATTACACCCTGGTCAGACGCGACAGGCCAACTCATGGCGGAGGCTTAGCAGCATATGTAAGAGATCATCTCCGAGCCCGAATTGTGAAGGCTGACACCCAGGTGGAAATGCTTATGTTAGAGGTCAGTGGGCAGCGTTCCAAGGTTCTCCTTGGTGGTGTATACCGTCCTCCAGGCACTCCTGTGCAATTCTGGCAAGACTTGACGAATGCACTGGACACTGTCATCTCCACACTTCCCACGTCACCTCTGGTCCTTGTTGGAGACTTCAATGTCGATGTAAGTTCCCGCGACAGCCCCCAGCTAAACAGCTTGCTGCACCTGTGTAATTCTTTCGACATCAAGAACCAAGTGGACAGTCCTACCAGAATTGGACCCCAAGGCAGCCAAACAACCCTGGATATCGCTCTGGTCGGAGACGATCATGTGAACTCTTGTGTCGTAGTGCCTTGTACAATCAGTGACCACTTCGCTCTGGCACTTGATTTGCGACTCACAACGTCCTGCACACCGACCGTGCGACGTGGCCGTAACATTGCAAGAATTGATATGGGTCAATTTGCACACTACCTTCTAAATAGCGATCTAGAGAACTTCTGCTTTGCGCGGACAGAAGATGAAATGTGGGATATGTGGCTGGAGAAACTTGTCGCGGCCTTGAACACTCATGCTCCTATCCGTCTACACCGCCCAAGAGCTCCTACCCGGAAATCCTTCCCCTGGAAGACGCCAGCTCTACATGACCTAGTCCAGCGACGTGACACGGCCCATCGACGGTGGAAAGCATCACCTGCAGACCCGGCACTACGCAATGTCTTCACTTCTGCCCGAGACGAAGCCAAGCGTATGTCACGACATCTCCGAGCCACCTACTTTAGGGACCTTCTTGCTGCTAGTCAGGCCAACGCACGAAAAACCTGGCAGACCATCAACTACCTCAGCGGTCGTAACAAGTCCTCAGTTCCACCAGCCGTCAGTGTCTCACAGCTCAGTGACCAATTCAGCGGTGTTGTGTCAGACCCAACTAGACCACTACGTCTCTCAGCCCCATTGGGTCCCACAAAGAAGGAATGCCTCGAAGAATTTGCTCCAGCAAGTGTGCAAGAGATCGCTAAGCTGCTCTCCAACATCGACGTGCGCAAAGCTGCAGGCAGCGATCAGGTTCCAGCTGCAATCCTCAAACACTGTTCTCCTGTCCTTGCACCGTCCCTCACCATACTAATCAATGCATCTCTGGCTTCTGGTGTTGTTCCTGCATCTCTGAAGATTGCGGATGTTCGTCCCTTCTTCAAGTCAGGCGACAAAGCTGTCGCTAAGAACTATAGACCAATATCGTTATTACCAATAGTTTCCAAAGTCCTAGAACGGGTAGTCCACACGAGACTCTGTAAGTTCCTCTCCGGAAATTCCTTGTTCCCCGCAAACCAGTTCGCATATCGCCCACTTCACTCCACAGAAGATGCCCTGACATTGGCTGTAGACAGATACTTGGAGGCAGCGGATCAGCAGCGCCATACAGGTCTTGTACTTGTCGATATGAGCAAGGCCTTCGATAAGGTCAAACACCAAATTTTGGTTACAGATCTATTTCAGCTTGGTATTACCTCAACGGCTCTCAGTTGGTTCATGAGCTACCTAACTGACCGCCGTCAGCGAGTCGTCCTGAGCAATGGCCAGTCGTCCGCCCTCTCTCCCTCAGGGAAGTGTGCTGGGTCCTCTTTTCTTCTCCATCTACACAATGGAAATAGAACAGATCACAGCTCCAGCCCACTCACAGCTGTTTGCTGATGATATCCTGCTAGACGCCATCAGTCAATCCGTCGAATTCTTGAATTTAACCCTCTCCCGTTCAGTCTCCAACCTGGCCAACTTTCTGGAAGAAAGAGGCTTAATACTAAATCCCTCCAAAACCCACGTTCTAGCCCTTCATGCGTCTCGCAGGCAGCCCTTGTTACTTAACATAGAATGCAATGGAAATCCCCTAGCTCAGACCACAAATGCTCGTTAGCCCCATCCCTCACACAAACAAGTCAACAAAGAGGCATCTTTGGATTGAGGAGTGCTGGTTTCGAAACAACTGGTTTGAAGCTCAAAGTAGAGCTGGTGTTAGCTCAGAGCAGAGCTGCTGTTAGCTCAGAGCAGAGCTGCTGTTAGCTCAAAGGAGAGCTGCTGTTAGCTCAAAGTAGAGCTGCGGTTAGCTCAAAGTAGAGCTGCGGTTAGCTCAAAGTAGAGCTGCTGTTAGCTCAAAGTAGAGCTGCGATTAGCTCAAAGTAGAGCTGCTGTTAGCTCAAAGTAGAGCTGCTGTTAGCTCAAAGTAGAGCTGCTGTTAGCTCAAGGTAGAGCTGCTGTTAGCTCAAAGTAGAGCTGCTGTTAGCTCAAAGTAGAGCTGCTGTTAGCTCAAAGTAGAGCTGCGGTTAGCTCAAAGTAGAGCTGCTGTTAGCTCAAAGTAGAGCTGCTGTTAGCTCAAAGTAGAGCTGCGGTTAGCTCAAAGTAGAGCTGCTGTTAGCTCAAAGTAGAGCTGCTGTTAGCTCAAAGTAGAGCTGCTGTTAGCTCAAAGTAGAGCTGCGGTTAGCTCAAAGTAGAGCTGCTGTTAGCTCAAAGTAGAGCTGCTGTTAGCTCAAAGTAGAGCTGCTGTTAGCTCAACGTAGAGCTGCAATGCTAAATGGATGTAATATAGCGCAAGGCAGAGCCGCAGCAAATAGCTAGATAACACCAGTTGTGAGAGTGGACCCGATTAGTGGGTATGATAATTATGATGGTGTGAATAAGTTGGATAGGGAGGGATGGTGGGAAAAGAAACACTGCTGAAGCACGATCCGTTGTCTGGAAGAGCACAACAGGGCAAGCAAGATTTGTTTTTCTTTTCCGCAAAATGGGCTGGTGCCATTTGTGATTACGCAGCAAAACAAAGCGCATGACGTCAGTCTTGAATGCAGTACAAAGCAATGCAGTGCAGTGTGTGCGCTAGTTCGGATTGTTGCTAACAAGTACTAGCACAGCTAGTACACCATTAGCCCCATCCCTCACACAAACAAGTCAACAAAGAGGCATCTTTGGATTGAGGAGTGCTGGTTTCGAAACAACTGGTTTGAAGCTCAAAGTAGAGCTGGTGTTAGCTCAGAGCAGAGCTGCTGTTAGCTCAGAGCAGAGCTGCTGTTAGCTCAAAGGAGAGCTGCTGTTAGCTCAAAGTAGAGCTGCGGTTAGCTCAAAGTAGAGCTGCGGTTAGCTCAAAGTAGAGCTGCTGTTAGCTCAAAGTAGAGCTGCGATTAGCTCAAAGTAGAGCTGCTGTTAGCTCAAAGTAGAGCTGCTGTTAGCTCAAAGTAGAGCTGCTGTTAGCTCAAGGTAGAGCTGCTGTTAGCTCAAAGTAGAGCTGCTGTTAGCTCAAAGTAGAGCTGCTGTTAGCTCAAAGTAGAGCTGCGGTTAGCTCAAAGTAGAGCTGCTGTTAGCTCAAAGTAGAGCTGCTGTTAGCTCAAAGTAGAGCTGCGGTTAGCTCAAAGTAGAGCTGCTGTTAGCTCAAAGTAGAGCTGCTGTTAGCTCAAAGTAGAGCTGCTGTTAGCTCAAAGTAGAGCTGCGGTTAGCTCAAAGTAGAGCTGCTGTTAGCTCAAAGTAGAGCTGCTGTTAGCTCAAAGTAGAGCTGCTGTTAGCTCAACGTAGAGCTGCAATGCTAAATGGATGTAATATAGCGCAAGGCAGAGCCGCAGCAAATAGCTAGATAACACCAGTTGTGAGAGTGGACCCATGAAACCAGCACTCCGTTAGCTAAGCACTATTGACGCACAGCAGGGGTCAATTAATGTCAGCACAGGCAAGCATTGTGCAGCTAGAGTTCAGTAGCTTATTACTCACCCGAGTTGGGGATCATGTCATCCATGGCACGGCAGCAAGCCGGGACGATAGCTGGCGCTTACCGCTTGTTGTAGTCCGGATGTAGCATAGACACGCATCGCTCTTTCCACTGACCTGCCACTCGGAAGGAGTCGGGGGCACTAGCCATAGCAGCGGTGGTGGCTGCACCAATGTGGACCGAATGCCCGGAGTAGTTCGACTGGGATGGTACACCGGCCGCAGCGACAAGAGACCATACTGTTACTGTGAATGACTGCCTGGTCAGCTGCTGTCTGTTCGAGAGTACGAACAAGAGTTGCTCCGGTCCCTCGCGACGAGTGACAAATGGGTAGCTAACAATGGCACGGACCGGGCAGTACGGCGGTACAGACGGGCCAATGTCACTAGTAACGCCTTTACCGAATGGGTCCGTCTTGGATGAAAGCAGGAAGAGTTGCAGGCGTCCGTCACCAGGGGAGCTAGTACAGCCCCGTGTGATGCCATTAGTGAATTCAGCACACCGAAGAAATCCAAAGAAGCAGCATGGCGGCTTGGTAGAGCAGCTTGTCATGGCCATTCAGGATACTACTTTTCCGGCGTGCATTCGTCAGGTGTCGTAGGATTGGCATAGTTATAGGAAGGCGAGGGGTGAGTACAGCCGTACCATGGCATCGCTGGATGCCCTTCAACACCCTCTTCAGAAGCCACGCATCTACTAAGGGGCCGGCAAACCCATTCTCAAGGTGGGCTTTATGCACCGCACTCACATACACAGATACAGTTCAGGGCACGCTGATCATAGTTCACGCATGAATGTGTGTCCAGGAACGATGACTCGGGCAGCAAAAGTGAGCTTCCCCAGGAGGGACTCGAGTTGACGCTGGCCGATGCTGCGCTCGCTGATAGTAGCCATGAGTGGCGCACGGATCTCGGACAGCGTGTCCTCTGGTAGCCGAGCTTCGTGGCGCTCGCAGTCTAGGACAATACCAAGGAAGGTCAATGATGGTGGTGGCCCTTCGAGCTGGGATGGAGCAAAGAGGAGTGCCGAGATACGTGAATGCCCGGAGGGGGATGGTGAGTTGCTGGTTGGCTGCAGCCAAACCAGTGGAGATGTCGAGAAAGTCATCGAGGTAATGAAGCTGGTGATCTATAGCAAACTCGTGCTGCATGATCCAGTTGACTGCTGTGGCTACTGAGTCAAGGACGGCTGGGCTGGAGCGGAGGCCGAAAGGTAGAAAGCGCTCGTAGTAGTAGGAGCCTTCCCAGCGAGGTCCTGACGGCGGACTGGGATCTGCCGAAATGCACTGCGTACATCGAGCTTGGACAAATACACAGGCTGTGGGCATGACCTGATGATGTTGATCGCGTTGTCAATGCTCGCGTAGTGCAGAGAGAGCGGCTCGGCAGGAATGCTGTCGTTCGCGCCGGTGCCTTCCGGACTAGACAGATGGTGGATCATTCGCAGCTTGCCGTTCTTTTTGGGGATGGCACCAATACCAGAGCGGCGCATGAACTGAAATGGAGGTGACGGAAATGGGCCTGTGGTCTCGCTGCGGGCGCAGGAAGCAGCTAATTGCTCGGATATAAATGCCGAGTGAGTGAAAGCCAAGGGTAGATTATTAGAGAAAACCGAAATGTCGTGTTGGCCGGCAGATCCAATAGTAAAGCCACGGCGCAGGCCATGGAGAACATACGCAACACATGATTGATCTGAGTGGTTACGTAACAGGCGGGCAAAGTGGTCAGCTAGCGGTGTGGTGTCTGCAGAGTGTATAGGAAAGAAGCTACGTACCGAGTCAAGCGATTCAGTAGCCATTCTGCTAGGAGCGGCGGGGTGGCCGATTGGCTCCGCGCTGCTGCTGGTTGCACATGATGCATGGGTGGTCCTTGCCACGCTGGCTGCAGGTGTGGGAGAAGCGGCACGACGATGAAGAACAGCGACCTCCATTGAAGTTGCGGCAGATTTCTTGGCCGTCGCTAGTATGGTTGCGACCACTGGAGGTAAATGCTGCTGGCTTGGAGACGAAAAGGACACAAACCGCCCCTGGATGGAACGTCTTACATTGAGCGCATTTTGGGTGTGCATGGCCTGTGACAGCTATCTGCCGTAGGTTCACGTCGATGGTGTCCAACCTCTTCGTGCCTGGTTACTGGGCCACGAGCATCCGCAGCTGGCGGTCGTACTCTAGCCACGCGCTTGGGAAGAACTGGCGGTTAGCAGTCAGGATCAACTGCTGGTACGCAATCAGTTCAGCAGTTCAGCAGTGCGGTGTAGGGCAGCAGCCGTGATAACAGACATGTATGTGGTCCATGCCTCGAGCCGGGTAGCTACATGTATAATTATCGTAAACCTTGCGACGCACCTGCTTCGCGTCATCCGACTCAACGATATTTAGCTGGCTATCGTTATTCGGGCTGTGCACCAGCCGGAATGTTGGGCCGGAAGTGTGCAAGAATGTCAGGCAACAAACTTGAAAAATCTACGAACTCCCCTCGCAAGATACGTTCTTGCACAGCCTTGGGCACAGCTGGTGCAGGTGGCTGATCGGGTGGGTTACAGGA